TTTTGTGGTACGCGGGCCTCTCACTGCTGTGGCCTCTCCCGTTGCGGAGCACAGGCTCCGGACGCGCAGGCTCAGCAGCCATGGCTCACGGGCCCAGCCACTCCATGGCATGTGGGATCTTCCCGGACCGGGGCACGAACCCGTGTCCCCTACATTGGCAGGCGGACTCTCAACCACTGCACCACCTGGGAAGCCCTAGTGATATCTTAATTGATCCTAAAGGAGAAATTATCATCTGAAAAAAATTTTTTCAGTATTGATGGTAATTCCAGAAATTAACTCATGGCACTAGCTCGGTCATTTGTGAAAAGAAGCCAGATCTGAAATTGGATTGTTTTCATATCCATGGTATTATTATTTCCTAGTCCATCTGCTTCTTTTTTTTTTTTTTCCAGGTAAGATGTCATTTTCTAGTAAAAGTCAGATGTTATAAGAACTTTTATATACATTCAAACTTTATTTTTTAAGAAAACAGTTCTTCCCCTTTTATATGAAGTGGATTTGGGCGGTTAAGACACTGTCCCTGTTGCAAGGGGCCATCTTGGTTGAGATGACCTTCGCTCAGCTGAGGGAATAACCAGTTAAGCCATTACCCTTCCATTCTCTTGCAGGATTTCATATCTGTGCTGCTGGGTGGATGGCCAAGGGCAGAGTTGGATACCCCATTGTGAAGCCAGGGCCCAACTGTGGATTTGGAAAAACTGGTATTATTGATTATGGAGTCCGTCTGAACAGAAGTGAAAGATGGGATGCTTATTGCTACAACCCACATGGTTTGTCAAAAACAATAATTTTATACTATATAAAAACAGGTACAGGTTACTAAGAGGTTAGTAAAAAGAAATGACTTCTTCCAGAGAGAGAGCAATTTAGTAATGATAATTATTAATAACAACTACCATTCATAGAATGATTATGCTGTGCCACACACTGACTTATGTCTCTTCATCCACACTGTCACTTTATTGTTATACCCATTTTAGAATTCAGGAAACTAAAGTTCAAGAGCTTAAGTAACTTTCAGACAGCCAGTAATTAGTAGGCAGGTGAGATCATGACTTAATTCTTTTCTGTGCCAGGGAACTTACTGATTACAAAGGACAAAAAAAAAAAAGATTATAAACTTGTCACAGTTAATTAGCTAAAACCAAGAAGTAGTACTACCAAATGTTAACTGTTCAAAATTATCCCTTTAATAGAATGAGAAAAAGGAGACAGAATAATCAAAGTTTTTCCCTAATTTCTTTTTGGGCATAAATTCTTAAACTTCCAAACTAAGCGACCCTCACTCTGTGGTTTGTTTTAACAAATATATACTGGATATACTAGTTATTATTGTAAGTACCTGTTTATTCATATTCTTTTTCCATGGTTGATTGCAGCTAGGAAAACTTTAAAGAGAAAATTAACACATTATAATTACTATAAACAGTAATTCTTGGTCCATGCTGTTGGAGAAAAATGTAGACTGTTGTTTTGGGATGTATTTCCCCCAGGATAATATTACAAAGTGTTACAACATGTTACAAAGTATTTCCCAGATATATGATCATAAACATCCTCAGGTGGTGTCCCATTTGGATCTATCTTAGAGAATGTCCATGACAAAGTAGGAGACTACAGTGAAGTTCTAGCATATTATTATAGAATTTATTATTTAATAATATTAACCATTGGAGAACAGTTTCTCACATTTGCAACTAACCTCTACCTCACAATAATGTATACTCCAAGTAGAAAATAATTTTTCCTAGAGCTGTCACCTATTCCCACTTGAGACAAAATATGAATAAATGGGGGTGGGGTGGGATGAATTGGGAGATTGGGATTGACATATATACACTAATACGCATAAAATAGATAACTAATAAGAACCTGCTGTATAAAAAAAATAAATAAAATTCAAAAAATATGAATAACGTGCATTCATATAGACTATAACTTTCAAATCACTTTGACATACTTTAAGCCTATAGTATACTATATTTAGTCCTATATTTAGTCATTGTTAATAATTCACATATCTTCTTTTCCTCTCTCTCTTCCTCTCTTCCTTTTTCTTAAATATATTTATACAGGCAACTCTCTCTTTACTCTTAAGAGTAACTTCTATTTCCAAATATATTATCTGATTCTTCTGCTTGATAAACTCCAGGACCTCTGAGCATCTACTCAATCATTTCCAAAGGTCAACGTCTAAGGAAGATGCAGAAGTACAAATGGAAAGATTCTTACAGTATTTCATTGCCCTTTTATAAGAATGCCACCTTAACTTACAAATTTTTATAAGCTGCTTTTGTTTCTCATAGAGGCTGGATGCTTTTTACTCTGGGAATGTGTGTACAGAATCCTGGGAGACTTGTGCTTACTCAAGTCTCAGCTTACTTTTGGATTCAGTGATATACTGATTATTTAGGATGTGGTCAACCTGAAGGGGACTGGGAGCCACCTGAACTAGCAATGGGAGAAGAGTTCACTGAAAAATAACTGGAATGAAAAAAATCATAATGGTGTCAGAAGAATAAAGCAATGATTATTAATTAATCAATACCACCAAGTTAGAGTTGATTGAAGCAAGGAAGAATAGGGTCATTCAGAAGTGTTCAGAAGTCAGCTTGCTCATTCGAGTTCTGAACGTGTGGCATGATGCCGACTGCCTCCTGTATGAATACTTCTTAACCAATTAGCTGTCAGTCCTCAGGGACCCAGCCTGCTCTATAAATCTGTCATTTTCTAAATAAGCAAGAGATGAGGCAATAATTATATGTAACATGAAGTATAGAGCTGAATAGATATAGCTAAATATAAAAACAAGTTAGTTCAATATTTGAATATTTTTCCTAATCTAACGATACATACATCAAAGATAGGATGCTATGGGACAGAGAAAATCACTCCCAAAGCGGGCACTGTACATGCTTATGTGCACATATAAACTATGTATTATATAATATTTAATAATACAATAAGAATAGCTTATACTTTGCATAATACCCTTAAGCTATCCTTTATATTTTATCCTCAGAATAGTCCTGTGAGGGAGGTAACAGGAGAGACATGACTATATTTATTTTACCAATGAAGAAACTGAGGTATAGACTGGACACAGAGCTCAGACTAGATCTCTGACCCTCTTTTGTCACTTCCTTGCCTTTTTAAGAGCCTGTTCTGCCATGGGGTGATAAGCTTCCTTTACTTCTATGGTGTGAAGGATTCTAACACAATTTTTTATTGTAATAGTTATTTTAAAGGAGAATATTCTTGTAAAAAACTTCTAATTGGGGAATTCTCTGGTGGTTCAGTGGTTAGGACTCGGCACTTTCACTGCCGAGGGCACAGGTTGGATCCCTGGTCGGGGAACTAAGATACTGCGAGCTGTGTGGCACAGCCAAAAAAAAAAAAAAAACCCTCTAATTGATATAATAAAAAATACCTTTGAATGCTATCCAGAGTCACCACTACCATCACCACCACTCAGATTATTTTGGGGTTCCAGTTTGTACCTTTTTTTCAAGACACTAGACATTTAGGTGATATGGAATTAAAATTAACTGGGGCTCTTCCACAGCTTTCTCTTCAGGCATACTGTAAAATCATTGTTCTGGCAGAGATTGTTTGTTTTTATAACAGGTTATGGGACAGGACAGAAATCTATGAAATGGTAAATGACTTGAAAAAACCAACATGGATATCTCCACCAAATCCTCAAATAGTATTAGGATTAAGGTGCTAATGTAAACCAGTAAAAGGAGTATAGAATGATTATAAATTATTCCTTTTAACTGGATTAGAGTGACCTTCAAATTCCCTAAGTGATCTTCATATTCTATAATGATTTTCCAAACAGAATTTATTGGACTCATTATTCCAAGTGTCTGAGTCCCGGAAGACACAGTGGTGACACCACAGAACAAAATCCCTGTCATCTTGATTGGGGTGTTGGTAATATGGGCATATGTATTTGTCAAAACACATTTAAGTGTACACATAAGACATGCATCCTATGCTTAAAATGTAAACAGAGCAAAAATGTCAACAGGAGCACAATTATTATTCCTTCTTGCTGTTGCGCACCGCAACAAACAGTAGCCCCCGCTCACTGCAACTAGAGAAAGCCCGTGCGCAGCAACGAAGACCCAATGCAGCCAAAAATAAATTAGTTAGAACAAAAAAAAGTTCACAAGTGGTCTATGTTCATTTTAGAGAATTTAGCAACTATCAATGAAAAAACATTTATTCTTTAGCTACAGTTACACACAATATACTATGGATGCTATATATTAAATCATTTTATTTTTATTTCATAAAAAGTACTAAATAGATGGACACTAAGAAATGAATATCTTTTTTAAAGTAGGAATCATTTTTTTTAAATGCTTTCTTATCATTTTTTTTTTCTCTTTTCAGCAAAGGAGTGTGGTGGTGTCTTCACAGATCCAAAGCAAATTTTTAAAACTCCAGGTTTCCCAAATGAGTATGATGATAACCAAATCTGCTACTGGCACATTAGACTCAAGTATGGTCAGCGTATTCACCTGAGTTTTTTGGACTTTGACCTTGAAGATGACCCAGCTTGCTTGGCTGACTATGTTGAAATATATGACAGTTACGATGATGTCCATGGCTTTGTGGGAAGGTATGTATTGTTTCTCCATACAGGAAGCTAATGAACATCTGATATTTTGCATGATGTTTCTTTTATTTCTCTCCAACTGTCCCTACAACATTGATTTTCCAGTTTATCTATTCTCCTGCAACAGAGTATCCTTTTTTAAAAAATTAATTTATTCATTTATTTATTTTTGGCTGAGTTGGGTCTTCGTTGCTGCACGTGGGCTTTCTCTAGTTGTGGCAAGCTGGGCCACTCTTTGTTGTGGTGCGCAGGCTTCTTATTGGGGTGGCTTCTCTCTGTTGTGGCCCACAGGCTCTAGGCGTGTGGGCTTCAGTAGTTGTGGCTCACGGGCTCTAGAGCGCAGGCTCAGTAGTTGTGGCGCACAGGCTTAGCTGCTCCGCGGCACGTGGGATCTTCCTGGACTAGGGCTCGAACCCGTGTCCCCTGCATTGGCAGGTGGATTCTTAATCACTGCGCCACCAGGGAAGCCCCAGAGTATCCTTTTTTAACCACGACTTTTTTTTGCTCTGTTACTCATAACAAGCCATAGTCAGTTGCTATGTCTACTTATTAAAATAGTTATAGCTGCTTTTTGATTTAAGTTGCAACAATTAGTTACATATTCTATTTATAAAGACCTCAAGATTTGACTAACAGGAGAAAGAAGATGTATGAGTTGGGAAATTTTGGGGGGTCTTTAAATGTTCTGATTTCTGTCAACCTCCTAAATATAATTATAAATTCAATAATGGTTGCCTTTCTTCTGTGTACAAAGCATCGTACTAAGCATTATGGATATAAGGCAAATAAGTAAACTATAGCCCCTTCTCTCATATAGTTTAGCTAAATATACAATGGATATCTTTTTAGAAATAACTTTCTTTGCCATAAAAAACAAGTATTTCTTTCCTCAGTATTTTTCCCTGGGTTTTTTAACATGCTGGGACACACTTTTTTTGTGTTCCCATCCATATCTTTAACATAGTTTAAATTTTACAATACAAAATTTGCAACATTTTATAAAATATTGTAAATTAAAGAGTGTACAGTTAAGGTGTTTTATGTATTCAGGTCCCCACTTAATAATGTGTATTTTAGACTATCCATTATCAATAGATTATCAGTTATCAATTCTCTATTATCCATAATAGTAATTTAATGAAAGAAAATAGTAGTGGGGATAATTAAAAACGACAGACAATATCTTTTTATTGACTTTGAAATCTGTAACTTAAATACAAAGAAAAACAAAGGCATTCGTTGCATAAATGAACAGCAATTTTTGGATGGAAAGTGGTTTTTGTTTTGTTTTGTTCTTTAGCTGAGACTACTATTATAGAAAAAATATATCGTTTTTTAAAATAGTTTGAAGAAGACTAGAAGTAGGGTTGGAGGAATTAAGAACAAAGTGTTTTTTGAAAGAATGGACCTCCTACCTTGGGAATTAAGGTAACATTTCTATTCTAAACCTAGTTTCAGCAATTACAGCTCTAGATAAAATCATAAATGATTTTTTAATCTACAGGCTAATTTGTTATTTATTGGATTATACTGTGTGATTTACCTTTATAATAGACTTTCTCCCCCTCAGGAATAAATTACATTGTTTTAGAAACTGATAAAAACCCTTACTTTTCATATTATCATGTGCAAGGGAATTCCCTTCAAGCCATGATTCAGATAAAAATCACATCCTCTTATGTCTATAAGGTCCAATGTAATTCTTTCCCTTTTAAATCAGCCATACACCCATTCTTCTCTAACTGTGAAGAAAACTTCATGAGATTAATCAGAAACAAATTTTAAAAATTTCCAAATACATTCAAGTTGTCTACCACACAAAAAGCTTTGTAGACACACAGTAATGCCACAAATTCTTTCTTAAAATCTCATTAATGCTGTGAGAAGGATATTTCAAACAATGTTTTAACCCCTCTTCTCTCTTACAAATTCAAGTAAAAATAAATAAATATAAAAATAAAATGTTGTAAAATAATAGAAAAATGAGCCATTACTTAGGGGAAATAAAGTACGTCAATTATCAGTAAGAGCCACTTGCAATAGCTATATAATAATAATTCATGTGACCTTTCTTTTTAAAAAATTCTCTTTCAGATACTGTGGAGATGAGCTTCCAGAAGACATCATTAGTACAGGTAATGGCTCTAAATTGAAGAACAAAACTATGATTTGCTTTCTCAGTATCAGTGAAAATGAAGGACCCAGTAGTTATTACTATATACTTTTTAAAGTTGAGAGAGCTGAAGACAGATATAGCTTGCTAGCTTGTAAAAGGCAAAGAAGTGCTTATTTATACTTAAAGACTTTTACTAACTCCTTGCACTAAAAATGTGTACTCTGGTTATTTGCAGGAAATGCAGTCTGAGATAGTCTTGAAACTGCAAATCCATAAATACTGCTGTAGCTTATAATTCCCATAAAATGTGGTAATAAAAGGTCTAAACTTTTCATTGATAAAGGATTGAAGTAATTTGTAAAGTTGTTCAAAATACCTTCTATCACTGAAAAAAATTTTACATCATATTTATTGCATTTTCACATTAGTACAGCAATCCCCAGGGAGTCTTGTGAAGAACACAGTTCTGTTAGATGTTTTTAATAGATATTACATGAGAAAAGGGCTTTAAGGTCAAGTAAATTTGGGAAATACTGGATTAAACAATGTGAAACAGGTTTCTTTATTAGAAGATGTCAGAGAACTTTTACTACGCTAATTATGCATAGTAAATCTAAAAAGGCTAGCTATAGTAGGCAAAGCTTTCCAAATCTTTTTCCTCTTTCTAATTATTTTGTGTGACTTTGTTCCTTGAAATGTACCCCAAGAAATGTCCCTGTAGCAGCATACATTTATCTCAGTAAGCAATACCATTGCTATTGCCTCAAACTGCTACTTTCTGACTAAGAACTTTTACTTTCTTAGATGTCTTCATTTTCCTTTTTATTTTCATCACCAGCACCAGTAATTGGCATTCTTTTTTTTTTATTTATTTTTGGCTGTGTTGGGTCTTCGTTGCTGCATGTGGGCTATCTCTAGTTGCCACGAGCTGGGCTGCTCTTTGTTGTGGTGCGTGAGCTTCTCATTGCGGTGGCTTCTCTTGTTGCAGAGCACGGGCTCTAGGCACACTGGCTTCAGGAGTTGTGGCACATGGGCTCAGTAGTTGTGGCTCACGGGCTCTAGAGCACAAGCTCAGTAGTTGTGGCGCATGGGCTTAGCTGCTCCGTGACATGTGGGATCTTCCTGGACCAAGGCCTGAACCTGTGTCCCCTGCATTGGCAGGCAGATTCTTAACCACTGCGCCACCAGGGAAGTCCTGGCATTCTGACTTGCTCTATTTTTCCTCCACATCATAAAAAAATTATCACAATACTTCTCCAACTAAAAACAACAAACCTACATTGAGTTGCAATTTCTAAGCAGTCCTTAAGCTGAGATACTACTAGCTAAAATTAGTCCCACACCCTAGCTTTGCAGTGCATGCAATTCTCATTTATGAATCACTACAAGAGATGGAAATTCTTGTTCAGTCTTGGAATGATTAATGCTTAAAATTTATGAATTCATTACTCTGTTACAGTCTCCCTAGGAAGAGTAATCTGTTAAACTTTTTATTTATCTTTTATTCTTTACTTGAGAACATATTTTATGTTAACAGAAAACTAAAAGAAGACATTTTATGAGATGTAGGAGGTATTTGGGGGGTGAGAATCCTATTTTTAAAATAAAAACAAAATGAACAGAGGGAGAGTCAAAAAGAAGCCTGAAACTTAATATTTTTCCTGTTTTGTTTAAAACAGACAAAACTTACTCCAAATGTAACACTAAATTAGTGTTTTTCTTGTGCAACTGCAAGGAACTAAAAAAAGAAAAACCCACACAATTTATTATTCAAAGAGAAACAAATCAACAGAAAAGAGCATAGTTAAATAAAAAGCCAAAGATTTAGCAAAACAGCAGGAAGAATACATTGATACAAAGTAATAGAAAAAGAAGATATAAAATATGTTTAAAGTATTATCCTATAAGTCAAGCATAATGCTGTTAACATTTTGATTTAGTTTTCTTCTTAAATATATACTTACTCACCCCTGGATATTTATATTTAAAAACAGAAAATAAATAAACTAAAAATTACCCATTACTGTACCACTTTAAAAAAAGGTATGTGAAGAAAGAATGTGCCCACCCTTCTCATCTCTCCCCACCCAAGAAAGGCATTGGATAACTATGTGGTGACCGTCCTTCCAGATGTCTTCCTGTATTATACAAACATTATATATCAATACATGGTGACCATGTATTTTCAAGTCAGATTATAATATTTAGATCATTCTAATTCTTTTTAATGACTACCTAATAGGTACCATAATTTGTCATATACCAATATTTAACATCCTGAAGGTGGTTGTTTTTTATTTTTCTTTCTTTTGCTATTGAACATTTCACTAGACATTTTTAAACCTCTATTTTGTAGTGTTATTTTATTTTTAAAAAGTAAATTTCTAGAAGTGAAATTTTGGGATCATAGGTGATGTGCACTTAGATGTGGATAGATGTCACCAAATTAGCACTAGCCCTACAGTGCCAATTTGTATTTTAACCAGTTGAGTAATCTGAAAAAAAAAATTTTTTTTTTTAATTTAAACAACTCTTTCAAGTTTGAGAAAAGTACAGTGGACCACAGCATGAACTCTGAACTCAAACCTGGTTCTGCCACTTATAACCCTGTGGCCTTGGGCAAGCTACTCAGGTTTTCTGTGCCTCAATTTCATCTATAAAAATGACTATTTTGATAGTATCCAACTCATAGTGTTGCTTTGGAAAATAAGATGAAAGGCACTTAAAGCTGTGCCTTTCGTCTTATATATATGGGGTTTTTGTAATGAATTCTGGATCTGTGATCTGGATTAAGAAGGTCTTTCCTTCCTGAAAAAGAAAAATCTTCCTATATTTATTTTACACAGTAACATTTTTCCTTTTTGTTTTTGGTACATTTTGGTCTTTAATGCAGGTAAAATGTAGTTAGGTGCTTTGTGTAAAGGGATCTAGCTTTGTGGGCTTTTTTTTTTTTTTTTAACAAATGCAAGGCTTGTTGCCATCATTTAGTAAATGATCCATCCATATCTTAATGGTTTGAATTGCCTGCCATTCTCCTGTAATTCTATGGATGTACCTTCTACAAAGAATACCTTTGAAAACAGAATAGACAAAATTTCCTCTAGGACAGATTGGAGAGCCACAGGAAAAAATATGACAGTCCTGGTCCCAGTTGGCAGTGAAACTACAGACTCTACAGCTTGAGAATCTAGTTCTGAATTCTGGGAGTCTTGTTCATGAATTTTTATATTCTCCTATGAGAATGAGTCTTTGAATTGTCAGCCAAATTGAAGGAGAGTAACACCTTGGTTCTTCTGCATCTTCCTCCTCCCCAGGAAATGTCATGACCCTGAAGTTTCTAAGTGATGCTTCAGTGACAGCAGGAGGTTTCCAAATCAAATATGTTGCAGTGGATCCTCTATCCAAATCCAGTCAAGGAAAGAATACAAGTACTACTTTTCCTGGAAATAAAAACTTTTTAGCTGGAAGATTTAGCCATTTATAAAGCAAAGAAAGACATTCTGCATTTATGTTTCTATCTTTTGGAGCCCCTTTGGTCTCACTTTTATATTATTATTATTATTAACATTTATTTATTATTTTTCTAAATGTGAAAGCAATACCTGATAATTTGGGGAAAATAGGAAAATACAGAAAACTTTAAATGAGAGAATAAAATCTCTCATAATCCCATTGCATAAAAATAACAAGCATTAACATTCATATATTTTTCTTTTAGTCATTTTTTGATTTGTGGTATATATATATATATATATATGTATCTATATGTATTTGTATTTCAAATTTTGGAATGCTGCTCTATGTACAACTTGATATCTTGGATTTTTTACCATTGAACTTTATGGTGTACACGTTTTCCCCTATCATTGAGTATTCTGCAAAAACATGATTTCATTTACAGTATTCTGTAAACTGTCCATGCTATGATTGTTCCATACTTTACGTAAGCCTGTCTCTATTGTGGGAATTATAGGTAGTTTTCATAAATATTGTTTCAATAAACATCCTTGGACATATATGTATTTGTACAGCTCTCTAATTATTTGGGATAGGGTCCTAGAGGTAGAATTACTGAGTCAGAGATTAATTAAAATAAAAAAATGTTTTTGAGGGAGATAAGCTGGACTTTATGACACTAATGGGGGGTGGTGGGCTGGATGGCTGGTGGTGCTGCTGCACTACTCACTCAGCCTACAAAGACATCCTCTAGGGAAACGAGAAAGTGAATGGACTAGGAAAATAGCAGGTCATTAACCAGCAGCATTAAGGGTCCATTTGACCTTTGTGGTATGGACTTTAACAGGAGATTGGTTAGTGAGTCTCTTTTCCTTTGGCCATGTTCAGCTACACAGGACAAAGACAGATTAGTGAGAGAGCAGGAGTCAGCAGGGTCAGTTTTGCCAAGTGAGTATAATAAGACAGGGGCAAGGGAGTAGAGGATATAGGTAAGAAGGGATTGCAATGATAACCCAAGGAATTTAGTTTGATAAGGGGTGAAGAGAGGATAGTAAGGAAATGAGGGACAGTAAAAAAGTGGTGGGCTCAAAGAATTGTCAAATCAGAGTATGAAAGGGGACGCAGTGGAGAGATAGTAGGTAGTGGTCAGAGAATGAGATATTAAATATAAATATAAATATATTAAATATAACCTTCTGTGGCAGACAGAACAGTGTTCCCTCCCAGGATGTCTGCATCCTAATCCCCAAAACCTGTGAATATGTTACCTTAGGTGACAAAAGGGACTTTGCACAAGTGATTAAGTTAAGGACCTTAAAATGGGATATTATCCTGGATTATCCAGGTGGGCCCAATGTGATCACAGGGGTCCTTAAAAGTGGATGAGGGAGGCTTAAGAAAAAGAGAGTCAGAAAAAAGGTGTGACAAGAGAAGCAAAGTCAGAAAGATGCAACATTGATGGCTTTGAAGATGCAGGAAAGATGCCATGAGCCAAGCATTGTGGGTGGCTTTTGGAAACTGGAAAAGGCAAAGAGATTCTCCCCTAGAACTTCCAGATGGAATGCATCCCTGCTGACTCACTGATTTTAGCTCAAAGAGTCCCATTGGACTTCTGAACTACAGAACTGTAAGATAATAAATTCATGTTGTTTTAAGCTACTATGTATGTTACAATTTGGATGGAGCAGTGATATAAAGGTAATACACCTTTTAATCAGTTTCATGCAGGGTTAGACTTAGGAATAAAAGTCTAATTCTACATGACAAAGCATAAACAAGAAGAAGTTGTAAACAGAAGATAGCTATTTTCTAAACTCAGAGAAATTAATTTAGGTGAATATTATTTAAGGCTAGTATAACATTTCTCTGTTCATATGTTTTCCTGCCTACATGTAAACTTTTTTTACTTCCTTGATCATGAATTTTTTTTTTCCACTATTTTTTTTACTCTTTTCCTCACACCCATAGTCTTTTTGGTCTTTTTTCCCCCCAGTTTTTAAAAATTGAAGTGTAATTTACTTACAATATTATATTAGTTTCAGGTGTACAATATTGTGATTTGATATTTTTATACATTACAAAATGATCACCATTTTAAGTCTAGTTACCACCTGTCACCATACAAAGTTATTACAATGTTATTGACTATATTCCCTCCACAGGCTTTTTGGTCTTTATCAGAATTAACTTTTTTTTTCCTTTGGAAATTTTGATAATGGAATTTAAATAGTAAATTGAAGAATGTGTGTTAACTTGAAAATTACAATGCACTCTAGGATATAAGGTATTATTATGATGATAATGAATATAAATCCTCTAAGATTTTCCTGAAAATAATATTCAGATGTATGAAATATTTAGAATGATGTTAAATGTTATCTATTACCACTGACCCAGATTCCCCTATATCTCAATGGTGTAGTGAGAGTATTATATGAGAATATTATACACAGGATCAGAGATGGGTTATAATGACTTCTAGAGATTTGACTGAATTACTTACAAGCCTTCCTACTGAGATTTAGGATACATTATGATCATATTCTAAGATCTATAGAAATACTTGGAAAGGAAGAATTATAATATATATAGATAATTTTTAATAATAATTTTAGTAAAAAAAAGTGACCTTGTAGAACATTTTTTAAAACGTGATTTTCTTTATTCAATTTAGCATCTTTTGCATGTCTACTCTAGTATTCTTTATGTTCTAGCAATTCCACTTCATTTGAATGTTTTCAGTTTAATACCTGCTTAGATGTATCTGTAGGTTTTTTTCTCTATTTTTCTTTTCTTTGTCATGTTTATGTGTGGGTTTGGGAGGTTCCTTTTTTTTAAGTTTTACTTACTTTCAATTGAATGTGATCTTGATATCAATATCATTCTCTGAAAATAAAACAAACTGACCAATGTTTATACGTGTACATATGTATATATTCAATATTTTATTTAATATAACATTTGAGTTCAGATTTTTTTGAAGAAAATTTTTTGGAAAGGAAGTTTTTTCAGAATATGTTTTACAACTCATTCCCCTCAAAAAAAAATTATTTTGAAGGCAAGTTGTTTTCATGTCTTGTGCTGTTTTTAGATGTCTAAAATATATACCCACAGCTATTTAATTTCCTTCTGAACAAATGCCCAGCAAAGAAAACCACAAGAAGAAATCACATCCCACAAAACCTCAATATATAAAAGTAAACTCCCTAAAAACACAGGCTCTTGGGCCTCCACTGGGAAAGCCACATCCTTAGCAGTATTCATAAAATATAAAACAGTTTTTGAGCACTTATTTGACTGTCAAACAATTATAAATAGGACTATTATTTGCCTAAGTGTTAGTAACCTCACAGTAGTTCTCATGATGTCAAAAGAAAAGTTACATGGTATTAGATTTAACTGAGTCAAGATGTTCATTTAAAATAAAATTACATGTACAATACAGTACGAAAACTAATTTTCATATTGCTTTTTGAAGTTCTATCCCTGCTACAGCAAATAGGAATCACTTACAGGTATGTTTATATACCTGATAAGTATGCCTCATCAACAGTTTATTCACATATTGTAGGCAGAAGTAGGAAAAATTGCTCCAGTATATGAGCTGTTTCTTGCAAAACCAGAAAGAGCAAGGTTAGAAGGTAAAAATGATTAGAATTGTAACGAGTTGGGTTTGTTTTTTTTTTTCCAATTTAAAAGTTACAGTTAATCAAGTTTAAAAGTGCTATAGGGCTTCCCTGGTGGCACAGTGGTTGAGAGTCCACCTGCCGATGCAGGGGACACGGGTTCGTGCCCTGGTCCGGGAAGATCCCACATGCCACGGAGCAGCTACGCCCGTGAGCCATGGCCACTGAGCCTGTGCGTCCGGAGCCTGTGCTCCGTAACAGGAGAGGCCACAACAGTGAGAGGCCTGCATACTGCAAAAAAAAAAAAAAAAAAAAAAAAAAAGTGCTATAGAGGACAATGCAGTGCTAGATAAACATCAGTGTTCCAGCTAAAGTGTTACTGCTATGGGGAAAAGCAACATGTATGCCCTGCCTAAACAGCAGTATCTTCAGCACAGTTGATCATCTACTTAATACAGCTCTTCATCTAGTCAACTAAGATTTTTCTTTTTCTCTTTTTGCTTTCAATTTAATTTAATTTTGGGCTAGTTTATCTGCTCATATTAACAAAACTTAAGAATTTACAGCTGATGTATTATGAATATTCTTGCTCCTATCCTGTTTTTCCATCTACCCATTTCTGGTCCTCAAGAGCTATTTCCAGTGTCTTCAATATCCTTCAAAAGACAGTGTATGTAAATGCATATTTTTTCCCTTCCCCACTCCACTTTTTTTGTTTTTTGCAGTACGCGGGCCTCTCACTGTTGTGGCCTCTCCCGTCGCGGAGCACAGACTCCGGACGCCCAGGCTCAGCGGCCATGGCTCACGGGTCCAGCTGCTCCGCAGCATGTGGGATCTTCCTGGACCGGGGTACAAACCCATGTCCCCTGCATCAGCAGGCGGACTCTCAACCACTGCGCCACCAGGGAAGCCCCCCACTCCACTTTTTTTGTAGCATATTATACACACTCCTCTCTATCTTAATTTTATTTATATTATACATAAAATACAATTCATCAAATTTATGTGTATAATTCAATAATCCTTGATAAATATATATACTCATATAACCACCACCATAAACATGATATAGAATATGTCTACCTTTTAAAATTGTGACCTTGTGCCTCTTTGTAGTCAATCCTCTCCTGCCATCCCTTGGCCCCTGACAATAACTGAGTGTTTTCTTTTTGTCACTACAGTTCTGTCTTTCCTAGAATGTCAGTGAAATGGAATCATAGAGTATGTAGTCTTTTGTGCCTGGCTTCTTTCATTTAGCACAACACTTTTGAGATTATTTCATGTTGTTGTTTGTATCATTCCTTTTTATTGTTGAGTACTATACAACTGCATACCACAATTTGTTGGTATTCACCGGTTGATGGACATGTGCTTTTTCCAGTTTTGGGCTACTATGAATGAAGCTGTTATGAACATTCACATACAAGTTTTCATGTTGACAGATATTTTCATTTCTCTTAGGTAAATACTTAGGACTGAAATTCCAGGGTTGTATGGTAAATTTACATTTAACTTTTTAAGAATCTACCTACTGTTTTCTAAAATGTCTACCATTTTGCATTCCCACCAGCAATGAATAAAATTCTAGCTGGTCATATCATCATCAAAACTTGGTGTGGTGGGACTTCCCTGGTGGTCCAGTGGCTAAGACTCCACACTCCCAATGCAGGGGGCCTGGGTTTGATCCCTGGTCAGCGAACTAGATCCCACATGCCACAACTAAAGATCCCACATGCCGCAACTAAGACCTGATGCAGCCAAATAAATAAATATTAAAACAAACAAACAAACTTGGTGTGGTGGGGGTTTTTTCTTTCTTTTTTTTAAAGTTTTAGCTATTCTAGCAAATATCGAGTGGTATTAATTTGCATTTCCCTAATGGCTAACAATGTTGAGCACCTTTTCATGTGTTTATTTGCCATCCATATACCTT